CTACCAAAAAAGGTAACGGCGGCAGCCTTTTGCCTGGTCTTTGCAACCCCTCTGTATGTTGCCAGCCCTTTTATCTTGTGTGCTGGTGTTGATCTCACGCTCTGGAGGAGCTGGTTTGCCTGACAGTGTGGCAGGGGATGGGAAACTTTAGCCTTTCCTGCGGGAGAGGCACCACTTGGAGCTGCAGCGCTGGGGCAGGAGGGAGCAATCATGGAACCACAGAATCACTCATAGAATCGTAAAATCATAGAACCGTAGAATCATAGAATGTGTTGTGCTGGGAGGGACCTTTGAAGGTCATCAAGTCCAGCCCCCCTGCAGTGAGCAGGGACATCTTTAACCTGCTCACACGTTGCTCAGAGCCCCATCAAGCCTGACCTTGGATGTCTCCAGGGATGGAGCCTCCATCACCTCTATGGGCAACCTGTGCCAGGGTTTCACCACCCTCATGGTAAAGAACTTTTTCCTGACATCTAATCTAAATCTACCCTGCTCTAGCTCAAAACCATTGCCCCTTGTCCTACTACTGCACGCCCTTGTGAACAGTCCAGGTTGGGGTCAGCGCACATGGCGTGACCTGCAAATTTGGCTTTTGTGCTCAAGTGCTGGGCTATTTACCCGTAAAAAAGAATAGTTACTTCTGTCTCATTAGACTCAATTCTTAATCTAACAGGGTGTTTAATATCTTCTTTCTGCTTTCTAATGCAACAAGTAACCGTTGTCAAAAATAGAAATTAATTTTATGTGTAATCTGCAGCTAAAGGTAAAGGGCAGAGTCAAGCCAGAGTGAATATCAGTGCTGCCCTAGTTGAGGATATTATCAATCTGGAGGAAACCAATGAAGACATGCAGGCAGTGGTAGAAGCTCTGAAAGAAGATTTCAGCAGAAATCTCAGTGTTAGAACCTCACCAGGTTGGTAACTTTATTGTGCGATGCTCTGTTGCCTGTAAACAGCAATACCAATCCTAGTAATGGAGAACTTTGGTATTTTATTGCGTTATTCACTGGGCACCCAATTACTACAGCCTGACGTCCCCAACTAGAGGCTTTCTTCACCCTGAGCTTGACCAGGAAGAATCCATTTTTGTTAATAGCTTCCTGGAAATAGCTTTTGTAAGTGGGAGATGTCAGAAGTGTCTAACTGAACTGTTTGCAGATGTGATGAAGAAGCAGGTTGTCAGCTAATGGTGCAGTAGGGCAGGAAAAATCCAATTGCCATTAAATTAGCCTTTTGGAAATTGCCATCAGGCCGGTGTCTGGTATATACAAACTTTTTTTTTGCTGTGCGTCTCTGTGGTTAGTGACCTTTACAAGCCTCATTCACTTACTGAATTTTGTGTTTTAGGAAGAAATGTGAATATATTTGAATAAGCTACAGTTTCTATAACACGCTGAACATACGTATTTGTAAGTAGTATCAAGTTTCAGGGATAAAATCTAACATTAAACAATGACCAAATTTGAATCATTCACCACCCCAGCTCTGGCAGGGGCACCTCAGTCTTTAATGGAGTCGGAAAGCGTAGCTCAGTCTCTTAACTATTTATTTTAACCATAGGTATTTTTTTTAATTGCACTGATAAAGTACTTTTTGTCCCTTGTGCCTTTTGGCCTGTTAACATTTTGCAGCAGAAAGGAGAGAGCAGATTAAGAGTAGCTCAGGGAGAAACTGAATACTTAAAATTAGGCAGTGTACACCACCTCCTCTTGGGACTTGGAAAAAAAAAAGGAGGGTTTAAGAGAACACTGCTAAGTTAAAGACAACAACATACTGATTTTCCTTAAGTTTGAAGAGTTGAAGAATTAACTATTTCCTTTTAATTTTAGCAATCTTGCTTAATTTTACTATCCCAGTAACAAAACCAAAAAGAGATTTGTTTTCACATTTCCGTGCTTTAGAGTAATGTTGAAATATTTAGCTTGCAAATACCACAAGGGATGCATGAACACAAACAGCGCCCGAACTCTAAATAAACATGTTTTTTATTTCTATAAAACCTGTGTTTTGCATACCTGGAGGGAAGCGGGACACGGCATACGTGTTTTTTCCTTCGGCATCGCCGCGAACTGCTGTATCGTACTGAACCTCCCCGTGTTTGGTTCTTTCTTTTGAGGGGCCCTCGACCACATAATCGTGATGACAAAAGACGGGAAGTTTCCGCTGAACCAGCTGGGGCAGATCTCACAGAAGTCACCGCAGCTCATTGTCGTGAACATGACCAATTTTCCAGAGGTGAGGAGTTCCCTTAGTTTTCTGCAGCAGCCTTGGCTAGACTTGCCCTTAAATGGGGCAGCAAACCTGCGTCCCACCTCAGGATCAAGCACGAGTGGTGCCCTGTAGCGCGCTCACGGACAGGAGCAGGAGCGAGGTTAGCGATTCATCCTGCTCGGCTCTGGAGGTTTGCCAGAGCTTATCTCTATTTATTTTGCGAAGGCTTTCCCCAATTAATTAGGTCAGCAAAGTTTCGGAGGAGGTCAGCGTGAGGCACTTGATGCCTAAGTGTTTCTTAAAGTGTATCCAGTGCGCGTGGTGGCTTTGAAGAATGAATCTCCCCTCGTCGGCGAGGGCACCGAGGTCCCACAGAGCGCCGGAGCTGAGAGGCTGGGGAAGTTGCTCCACGATTTACCCCGTGTCCAGGCGGGAGCTCAGGCTGAGAAATGGACATGTGAGAAATTAAACATCCCACTACTTTGCCTGCATTTGGTTTCTAAGCCAAGGGACCATTTTTCATTTGAACTAGAGCTGTTTCTCTCAGTGCAGTTGTTTTATACCCTAACTGTTCCGTGGACAGGTTGAACTCTTTAAAATCACGACAGACACGTTTCCTTGATGTCATTATTTACAGCATACAGTCGGTACTTCGTGGCATTGAAAAGCAAATAAAAATGCCTGAAGAGTCTGGGAAAGAAAATAATCGTAGAAAAGGACTTGCAGGGCCAAATTGTGTTTGCCTGAGAGTTATAAAACCAAACAAGACAATGTTTTTTAAGCGTGGCTAGTTATTTCATGGGCTGCAAGAGGATGGGGCAGCACTGCAATATTTTCCCCTTACTCCTCCAACGTGTGTATTAAACAACCCAGCTTTTACTGAGCATTTGCTTCCGACAGAGCAAGCGCTGTCCATAGAATAACACATTTACATTCCTTACATGCTGAGATCATCTTGCATTTTCTCTGCCGTTGTTGTCTAGAGGACAGCAGTCGTGTCTTACGAAACCCGAGCGGAGCATTTGCTTTGCTCAGTGATGCCACGTGTCGGGGACCTGAACGCACACCCAGAGTTTGTGCCTCAGCTGACAAAAGCTGCACTTCATGAATACAGTTTACTGCAGCAGCCGGGAGCTGAAGTAATTATGGGAAAGAGCATCAGAAATGGCAACGCACCTTGTAGCGAATGCGGACTCGCTCAGTCTTGTTATTTCCATGTCAAGAACGAAGGGACCTGGCAGAGCTCTGCAGGAGATCCCGGCAAAACTCCCATTTAGCCCTGAAGCCTGATGCTCTGTGGAGGCACAGCAGCACCTGGGATGGGGAAGAACGCTTTTTCATCACTTTGCAGTTACCGGGCAAACCTGCGTGCCGTGGAGCAGAGTGTCAGCCAGCAGTGGTGGAGTTTTGAGAAGTTAATCCTAAGTAATAAGTTTGTAAAATAAACACAGAAGTGGGCACAGGCGCTCTTTCTCAGCCGACTGCTACTGCCCTGATGTAATGTGGTTAGGCCTTAGCGCCGAAGTGGTTAAGTTAGTTAATGTTTCTAAATTGGCACCGTGTGATTTCTAGTGGGAAACATCCAACTGGAATTTTTAAATGCTCAGAATCTTTCATCTCCTTCGCCACAGTCAGGCTATGCCTTGGGAATTTATTGCGGTTTTACTCTGCGTTGCCTCAAACCATTCAAATAGTTTCAAAGACGCAAAACAGTTTTCTTTTGTTGTTGCTTCCCTTCCCCTCTCCCCTCTTTGCGCCCCCCTACCCCGATACCGAGCGCGGCCGTAGTTTCCCATTCGGTTTGATCAAAGCTCTCCGCACCAATGTAACTTCCTGATCTTACTGGTAACAGAAGTAAATGTTTCCATGTTCCATGGAGATGGATTGCCAACTATTGACAGAGTTCTGGCATATGGGAATGATTATTTCCTAATTCCCTTTACCTTTTGATCTGTTTTACAGAGCACAGCTGCAGTGACGAAGGCTATAAGGGAGAGCGGCATGAACCTGAACCCAGAAGTGGATGGGACAATAATTCGGGTGCCAGTTCCTAAGTGAGTATTGATGGGTGCCCAAGTTCATTGCCACGTGAGATAGCGCACGGCGTGAACAGCGGCGGTAACGTCGTGATGCAGCTGCTGCCCAAATAGCTGTATTTCACGTTTGGAAAAAAATCTGAGCCCCTAGAAGCACCTGGTGGCACCTTGTCCAAGTGTCTGAGCGCTAAGCCACCACCTTTTGGCATCTGATGGTTGGTCGTGTTGTTCTTTATCTTCCTCCTGCAGAGGAAACTTGGTCCTAGCTGGCTGCAGCACTTTGCAAGAGACAGCCAAGGGCTTCTGAAGCTGTTTTGCCTTAGTTCAGGGGCTGATCCTTTGCTGCCCTGCTGCAGATTCCTTGAACTACACTGGCATGGAGCAGCAGTAACTCAGTAGTGAACTAGTAGTATTCGGGTGAATAGCACCTTGCTGCAGAGAGCACTACAAGGAAGTCAAGAAAGAGGAAGGAAATCAATAGCTTTGACTAGAAAATCCACTCCCTCTTCTCGTGTAGTGCACATTACGTAACTCACAGCTGCGTGGAAATTTTGCTGTAGGGCTGATAGAAAACCAGGCTGCTCCTGGCCGAGGGCTGAGCGTTGCTTCCCTCACCCATCACGGGTGTCTCCCAGCCCGGGCAGAAGGCGGGAGGTGCCGGTGCCCCAGCTGAGATCAGGACAGAGCTTCTGAAGCCACCCTGGGGGTCCCTGCGTCGCCTGTGTGGGGCTGCAGCACGCCGGGCTCTCTGCCTGCGGACGGGATCCTTTCGGCTGAAACTCAGAGGCTGGTGGTGGGCAAATGACTCCCACAAAGGATAAATCTGGCTCCGTACGCGGCCAAACACCTCGCACGCGCACCGCGTTTTACGAGCAGGAGACTTCTCAGTAAAGACGAACCAAGGATTTCTCGTGCTTTAGACCGACTTTAAAAACTCCACGGAATTTTATGTAGCGTTTTGATCAGAGAAGTCTAATTGCAGCTTTCCATTGCTGTCGGTGAGAGGGAATGACATTATCATTCTATTTGCTGATTTTCTTTTCCCCTCGTTCCCTGCCCTTCCCCCATTTCCTCAGGAGAGGAGGAGGAGGGCACCATTATCTTCATAATTGCTGAGGCTCCCGGGTTGCTGCACAGTGGTTTGATTGTTAATGGGCACTTGGGTCATCCTTGAATATGAATTGCAGGGGAGGAAACTCCAAAAGTGCAAATCCTGATGTTTAAAAAAAAAAATACTGTTTTTTAAACAAATTTTTAAACAAACGCAGACAGTCTGTCACTACTTTTTGTGGTGCTGCAGAGCGAAAGCCAGTCTTCTCTCCCTAGCGAAGATCTGCCTAGGGTGCTCCCGCGTTCCTGCGCCGTGTCAGGCTCTTTTCTCCCAGTTGTTTGGCCCAGGAAATCCCACGTTAAAGAGATTTTTGGCCCAGAACTCGCGTCCTTCAGGTCTGTTCTCATGGGCACCTCCAGTCCCGGCTGCTCTCCTGCTCTTGGGTAACGCCACCAGGTCTGGCAGAATTTCACCTACTTACCAAAAGACAAGCAGACAGTTTCAACCTTTTAAAACCTTTCAGTGTAAAAGGAGGCGGAAATAATCGAGTTCTGCTAGAGGCCTCTTTTTAATTTGTGAAGTTGCTCATTTTCCCAACTCTAAAGGTGTTTATCAAAGGCTGTCTGACAGAGAGATGCAGCAGAATTGCCAAAATTACGTTGGCTGCGCAAAACGAGTGAGCAAATCGGAAATGAAGAGGCAATATTGTTTCTGCAGAAATTGGTTCTTTCACGAGGAGGCAGAGGAAAAGTAAAATCAAACCTGAATTGTCCTTACTTAACTAAAAACCCTTTTTAGCCTGACCTCTCAGCTGGGCATGTGTCGCATTTTGCCTTATGCAGGTCTAGCTGTGCTTCGGTGCTTGAGAGTGTTCCAGCTGAGCATTTTTAAGTGAAGTTTCCTTTTCAGTATTTATTCTGTTAGTTTAGTTTTTGCATTGCAGTTTTCACAGAAAAAATACACTCATTTCGTTCGTGTTTACTTCTGCTGCCTGCTAGGATCCCCTCGCTCCCTGAGGCATTCGCCTGTTTGTGTTGCTAGCACTGCATAGGCAATATTTATTTGTGTAAAAAGTATTCTCTGAGGGTTTAAAAAGAGGAAAAAAAAAAAAAAAAGAAAAAAAACCAGCCATGGGAACATTTGTATTGGTTGATCTCTTGGCTGAATTTGACCTGACCTTGTGTCTTTTATGGTATTGGCTCATTTTTAGATTCATCTTTTTTGGACCCATTGTGTTACACTGGATATTGTTTGTAAATTAGTAATATTTTTACACATGCTTTACTGAAAGCCAGATGACTCATTTGAAAGTTTAATGACTCATTGTGAGCTTTTTTTCCCTTTGCCCTTTAAGAAATATGCAAAGATACCTACTACGGGGAGAGAGGACTCGAAAAGAATTCATTGGGGAAAAAAAAATTAAAAAATAAAAACCAACAACAACAAAAAAACCCACAACGAAGCTGTTCCCGAGCTGGGCTGCTGCGGATTGCTCATCAGCAGAAGTCTCTCGTGGGCTTTTTGTTGGGCAATGTGTGTTGCACCCTGTGTTTATGTGCAATTATGCATGCGGAGTGTTTAGTTAAGCCTGCTCTCCTTTAACGGGTCCCTCTCTCCGTTCGTAGGAAATTCCTAGTGTTTGAGATACAGAAATTACTCGTAGGCATAGAAATGCCGTGAGCCGAGTCAGGTCTGCTCCTGCCGAACGCGCGGAGCGGAGCATCCGTGGGGCGACAGGCAGGGACCTTCTCCTCATTCCCAGCTTTGGGCACCCCTCCCTCAGGTTCTCTTTGCGCTCCTTCGGCTTTAAAGAGGGGGGTGAGGGCAGTAGTTATGAGACAGAAAAGAAAACATACCTAAGAGCAGCTTAAAAATCCCAGATCTGGGGGCAGGATTAAACAACTGTCCTTAGAAACCTCGGGCCTGGCTCGTGTTGATGGATTCCTTAACCAGAAACAGCATCTGCTTGAAAAAGTGTCCGTTTCTGGCACTGTTGGTAGCATTGCTGAGAATTTACACACGGTCTGGCTGGAACATAAAACCCGCTGAGGAACTCCACGGCGCTGCGCAGTGATAAAAAGAAATTGGTGTTAATAAAGACAGACAAGGAGGCATGAAAGCTGTGACCCCGTGCCAAGAAGCATAGGAAATCTGGCAGCGCTGCATAAACAAAAACATTTCCTTAAAGGCTCAGCAGC